TTCTCCAAGATCCATCTGATTTGTGCCCAGGCTAAATGTTGTTGTTGTTGTTATGTGCTGTCGAGTCGGACCCAACTTACAGCGACCCCACCTTGGGTTTCCGAGGCAGTATCACTATGGAAGTACATTGCCCAACCTTCCTTCTGAGGAGTGGTTGGTGGGTTTGAACTGCCAGCCTTCTGGTTAGCAGTCAAGTGCCTTAGGTGCTATGCTACCAGAGCTCCCGCCAGGCCAAATAGGTGAGTTAAATGGGGATGTGGTGGGAATCATCACCCCTGCATCTTTCAAGTCCTAGATGGTAGCACTAATCTCTACAATCCCACCAAGAATTGTGATACTGCTTTTTGTTTACTATTTTCTTAGGTAGGGGTAGTTCTAATGGCATTCATTTGGCTTCTCCTACCATAAGAGCCCTTACTCCACATGTCAGAGATCCAAAGTAGGGGTGTTGCCAGTTGCTGAGTATTTCTATTTCAATTATGAATTCTGTAACTGGGGAAATCACTACACCCACAAGATCCACTGTAAAGCAGGCCTGAGCTAAAACTCCATTAATAATTTGTCCTCCATACACCCCTACTCTAACTGATGGGCCACTGTGACAGTTTAGATCTCCTGGAATTAGTATGATTTCAGAACTACTATCCAATGATCTCTTAAAAGTCTGATTATTTCCCTTTCCTTAGTGAACAGTCACTCTTGTAAAAAGCCATAGATCCCACTGAAGAAGCCTGGGGAAAAGATAACAGTATAAATTTTTGGCAGTGTACTGGGATCCTTCCTCAAGGGGACCAAGCCTCCCCCTTCATTGAAGGCGTTGTGGATCTGTAAATTGGCTCAAGTCTGGAAATTGATTGAGGGACCATAACTCTGTATTTTAGTGATTCAAGTTAGATTGCTGTTCACTTGACCTAGAATTCTTCTGCTTCTAAAGAACAAGTAAGTATTTAGCAGATTTCTCATATATTTCACTCCTATAGACATCATAAGGATCTCTGGTGGTGCAGTGCCTAAGGCATTTGACTGCTAATCAGAAGGGTGGTGGTTCAAACCCACCAGCTGCTCTGCAGAAGATGGGGCAATCTACTTCCATAAAGAATTACCACCTTGGAAACCCAATGCAGATTGCTGTGAGTTGGAACTGACTTAGTGGCATAGAGTTTGGTTCTGGTTTGGCAGAGACATCATGGTGGGAGCTCTGGTGGCATAGAGCCCACAACATTTGACTGATAACCAAAAAGTTGGCAGTTCAAACCCACAAGCCACTCCTCAGAAGGAAGATTGGGCAATCTATTTCTGTAGTGATACTGCCTCAGAAACCCAAGGAGGGGTCGCTATGAGTCGGAATCAACTTGACAGCAGTGACTTTGTGGTTTTTTTTTTTTTTTTTGGTTGTTGTTGTTTAGACATTATGGCCAAGTAGCCTGAGCCGTAAGTCCATGAGTCAGATTATTCTGATTACTGCTTTGACTCTACTGTCCATTACAGTAACCACACATTTCTTGTCTTTGTTGATTAAGTGCTGGTACTTGGTCACTACATCACTGGGTCCAGTCAGCACCACTGTGGTTAAGGGTCCTCACTCAATTAGGGCAGTTCTCACTATCAAATCTGGCTTACATGAAATAGCAATCACAGCAGTCTTCAAGGATTCTGGGACTTCCTTCACATATTTGTTTCTCACCATTGTGGTAAAAGGTGTGTAATCTGTGTACTGATTGTGCAGGTCTATCAGTTTAATCTCATAAATTTATTCTAACATGCCAATTTCCCTAAGCTGTTAGATGCTTTCTTCTACCTTATACCAAAGTAGGTCTGGTACTTCAACTTAGCTTAGTGTAGGACACTGCATAATCCATGCTTCAGTAATGTTTGTCCTTTTCTGTTTGTACATTTTTAGGTATGTTTGACAGTGCATTTATACCATGTATTTGGGACCTGCAGTTTGCCCCTATTTTTTAAATCATCTTTATAATTTTGGGTTTTACATTTAAGTTTTTGACTCATCTTAATTTTTGAATTTGGTAAGAGATATAGATCCTGTTTCATTTTTTCTGCAGATGGATATCCAGTTCTGCAAGCACCGTATGTAAACAAGACTGTCTTTCCCCCATTTAATGGATTTTGGTCCATAGGTGGACAGATTTTCTGTGTTCTCAATTCTGTTCCATTGGTTCAGGTGTCTGTCATTGTACCAACACAAGGATGTTTTGACTATTATGGCTATATAGTAGGTTTTGAGATTGGGGGAATGTAAGGGTTTTCTTCTTT